AAAGAAATGAGTGAAGCTGAAAAGCTGATGGAGGAGTTGGTGGAATTGGAGATGGAATCTGAGAAGACAAAAGAGCAGAAGGATGAGGCCAAGAAATTGGTAGAAGGGGAGAAAAAGAAGGCAATAGAGATGAGGGAGAGAGCAATGAAGAGGTTCAGTCAAACCGAAAAGCGACAAGAAGAAACAGAAAAGGATGAAGGGAGAAAGGAGAAAAAAAGAAGAAGACCAGGAGAGGCAATTGAGTGGTTGAGAGAAAAGGGAGAGAATATGCGAGAGATGAAGGAGCAAGAACTTCAAGAAAGAAGGGAAGAACGAGAAGCCCAAAGAGCTCAAACTGAACAGTTTATGTCTCAAATGCAAGGTCAAAATGAGCAAATGAAATTATTTCAACAACTGCTGCAACAAATGCAGCAACAGCAACAACAGCACAGCCAACAACAACAACAATTTGCCATGTTGCACCATCAAATGATGCAAGTTTTGACGCATCAAACATGCATTTCAGCAACAGTTTAAGATAGATTAAGGGTTTGGGTTTGATATACATCAGCATTGAATGCAATGTCATCTGAGTTTCGTATGTTATCTAATTTTTTTATATAAAACAAAATTTTTAATCATATAGAGTATATTTTGTATTGTAAAGGCCAATTATCTTGATTATCTTTATTTATTAAATAAAAGTTTTGGGCAGCAGGCCATTTTCCGAATAAAATAGAAAATTACAACTTTGATCATTAAAATACACTGTGTACAATCATAAAACAAATGTTGTGTTTACCAGATAAAGTAATTGGTACACGTTAACCAGGGGCCAGGGGTAATACACTTTTGAGCTATGAAAATTTCCTTTACTTTTCTAGGAATTCCATGACCTAAGTTAGCAAGTGTACTAATTGATTAAATCCACAATGGCACAAAAATTTGCATAAATGTCACAAAAGTATTAAGTGTAAACAGAAATGTCCACACATGTAGATTGTGCTGATGTTTATTTCTACTGAAGAAAATATTTTTTCCACTTGTCAGCTTATTTTACAAATTTGGATCTACAATCCTTTGCACTCATAGAAAGCCTTAAAAAAAGGGTAAACAATGTACAAGTTCTTAAATTTTTTACCCTCCAACATCAGTATGTGTAACTCTTCCATTGGCCAAAGTACAAAATGAAACAAATTCAAATTATTGGAAGTAGTCCTGTAAAGAAGGCGGTTGAACTTCAAACTTTTCTGACACAATTTTACTATACAGACAGGTCAACGCATTTTCCAAAGGGCACAGACATTGTAAAATTTCCCCACTGAACTCAAGTTAATTTGTAATTGGCTTTTAAAATCAAGAAACTTAAAATAGTTTGTAATATTACCAAAAAGCCACTCGACTGCAACTCTTACTTCACTCATGGCCGCATTGTACAAAACCATTTGTGGAGTGAGTTGAATGTTTTTAAAAGGGGCCTGAAGGTGAACATCCAAAGGGTCTGCAGGATCACCATAAAGACAAAGAGGATGCCCATTATGTAACGCCACCCTCCGAAGCTCCTTGAGAATGCCTGTTTGTTGGAGCATTGTGCTGTCGCGTCTTTTACCATCAAAGGGGCCATTAAGGTTTGCAAAATCCGTTTGGGATGACGACGAGAATTTTAACGATAGTCAATTGGTATTCTAGAACAAGAATTTGCAGCACGTTTCCCTTGCTAAATCACTTTTCAACACAACGCGACGGCGTTCTCGACCCGGTTTCTTATCGGCATTTTTGCCGCGCGTGCTGTTCTGAAATGACATTCCCATCCTCTTGCTAAACCACTCTAGTATCTCGAGCACGCTTGGGTTTTCTTAATGTTTTATTGTCAGGTTGGTATCTCGCGCACGCTTGGTTTTTCTTAGTGTTCCATTGTTACGTTGGTATCTCGCGCACGCTTGGTTTTTTTGGTGTTCCATTGTTATGTTGGTATCTCGCGCACGCTTGGTTTTTTTGGGTGTTCCATCGGTTATGTTGGTATCTCGCGCACGCCTGGTTTTTCGTGGTGTTCCATTGTTACGTTGGTATCTCGTGCATGCTGGGTTTTTCTTAGTGTTCCATTGTTACGTTGGTATCTCGCACACGCTTGGTTTTTTTTGGTGTTCCATTGTTATGTTGGTCTCTCACGCACGCTTGGTTTTTCTTGGTGTTCCATTGTCACGTTGGTATCACGCTTGGTTTTTCTTGGTGTTCCATTGTTATTTTGGTATCTCGCGCACGCTTGGCTTTTCTTAGTGTTCCATTGTTATGTTAGTATCTCGAGCACGCTTGGTTTTTCTTGGTGTTCCATTGTTGCGTTGGTATCTCGCACACGCAGGGTTTTCCTTGGTGTTCCATTGTTATGTTAGTATCTCGAGCACGCTTGGTTTTTCTTGGTGTTCC